TATTTTATTTTTGTTTATTGTTGTTAATTGCTTGCTGTGCCTGATTTGTAGATTGAACTTTGCCGTGGGTGTGTCTGTACAGGAAAAAACACGGTGTAGCTAGGGTTCAGCACAATCCATGGTTTCCAACATCGGCTGAGGATACTGGAACATATCCCCCAAGGATAAGGGGAGATTACTATATTTTTTGGACAATAAATTGCACAATTGACCAAATTTCCTTTTTTCATTATAGCCAAGCATGTGGCCTACCTATGAAGAATGTGTTAATCATTACAACACATTTTAACCCCAATCCTGGCTTCTTTCTTATGCCTCTCCCCTATTTTCTTTCTTCTTCTTCTTTTTTTCTATCTTAATGTGATCTTGTTGTGTTTTATATATCCTAAGAACTTGCCTGCAATCCTGTATGGAACAAGTTTGGTATAAATAAGTAAATAAACTAAAATGGTTTGAGACAAAAAAAAAACAAAAACGAAGGAGATATCTTTGAATTGATATGCAGTGATTTCCAGGGTATACAACTAAGTTTTTTAAAAACAGTAAAGTGTAAACAAATATATCTATAGCATGCTTCCTTTTGTGTAAGAAAGAAGAGGAAATAAGAAAATGTACATGCGCAAATGTAAACATGCATCTGCTTCTTTTTTGTAATGATAGACATAGGAATGATACACCAGAAAATAATGAAATTGTTTAGCTATAGGGGCTGGAGCAGAGGTGGCAATGACATGGAAGGAAGAGGGGAAGGAGTGACACTTTAGGAGTATATATATCTTTTTGCATAGTTTGACTCCTGGAATCGTATCAGTGTTATACATATTCAAAAAATCAAATCAACAAGGGTGAGAAAGAACCTACCACTGAAAGCAAAGAAAAATAAATGAACCCAACTCTACTTCAAGTGAATAACAAAATCACATAAAAGGAGGAAACGAACCCATCCAAGTATTTTGAGACTCAGACTCCATGGTAGACAGCAGTGGTTCTCATAGTGTGGTCCTCAGACCAGCAGCATCACTTGGAAAATTCTTGGAAATGCAAATTCTCCAGCCCTCCCAGACCTACCAAATCAGAATCTTTGGGAGTAGGATCTAGGAATCTGTACTTTAACATATCTTCCAGGTGAGTCTGACAGACTCTCACATCTTAGAACCAATGTCCATAGCTCCAAATGACAACAGTGCTTCAGAATTTGATTCTCAAAAACTCTTATAACATAGTAGGCCGCTCCAATTTTTTACAGGTGAGGAAAGTTTGCTGCAAAGAAGTGATATGCCAAAGACTATATGGCTAGAACCAGAGCGAGAACCCCAAATTTTGGACTTCCCGTATTTGCTTTTGTCTAAACCACCTCAAGATCCAGTTAATACAACCTCCAATCTCATCTCCCTGTGGAAATTTTAGCTATCGCTTTTGACCACTATTCACTGGATCTCTCTTCAGATCCCGATCAAAGGCATTCTCTGTCAAGGCTTAACCCCTCCCACCTTCGCTGTCCTCAGAACTTCTCCACTTCTATGTTAGGGAGTAGCCTCTGCTGGGCTGGAGGGGACCCTGAGCCGCAGCAATGGCGGGAACGCAGAAAGCTCTTGACGTGAGCGATGACGCTGGTGCCAGCACAGGTCTGAAATACACACCCTGCCAGAGAGAGGAGGCTTAATGGAGAGCCTGAAACTCCCCCTTCTGGGAGCACCCCCAGCTTACCTGCTGCGGGGCTGTGCTGTTGGAAAGGATGTCTAACAAATCGGAAGAGGAGAGAAAGTAAAACCGAGGGAAGGCAAGCCTCTTGGTATCCAGGTACTCCGCCAGGGCCTTCTCGCACAGGCACAACCTGAGGGCACAGAACACAGAATTTCCTAATTAAGAATGCCTAGACCCACAGTACACATATGTTACCTAAACGCAAATATATGCAATGAATGGGATATCTGCAGAAATTAGCACAAGAAACACTTATGGATATTTGCAAACACACACGTTGATGCATCAACACCAGCATAAACACCTCTAATAATACCCCATGTTGCCCAAAGACACAGGTAAGACAAGGGATGTGCACAGATACAGATATTCACTTGGGTATTAAATATAGCAAAGATCTCAGAGACAGCAGGGGGGAAGGAAATACTGCCTTCTTCCTTACAAAAGCCGTAACGAGCCGACCATTACCTGCTTTGAATATCCTCCAGTTTTTCATAAAGACCTGATTTGTTGGTGGCTTCCACGACATTTGGAGTTTTCTGAGCATCATATACTAGCTCTTTAAAGTCAACGTCAATGCCTTCGAACCTTTCCGAATCCTACAAATAAAAATGAGGGAAAAATGAACTACCACTGTCCTCACTTCCTAGAAGCTCCCCTCGGGTAGCCAGTCAGAAGCAGAAGCCTGTTCCTGGGTTGTCCAATTCAGCTGAGACTCAAAGAAGGAAATACTCTCAGCTTGAAACAGCAGTTCTCAAACATTTTTGTCCTAGAGCCCATTCACATTTTTAAACAATTATCTAGGAGTCCAAAGAGCCTTTTTTTATATAGGTAATATAATATCTATCAATATTTTCTGCATTAGAGACTAAAGGTTTTTTTTTAGAAATTAAAAAAATTTTGTTAATTCATTTAAAAAGCATGATAATAATGTAACAATAATAAGCCCATTATGTTAACATAAATAACACGTTATCAAAAATAATGATATTTTGCAAAACAAAAAATGACAGATGAAAAGGTGGCATTGTTCCACTTTTCTTTTCGTCAGGTCTCTTTAGTGGTTGACTTAAGAGGAGACAGCAGTACTCTCATATCTATTTCCGCATGCGGCTTACTGTGCTATCTCATATCACGTAGCCAGCCTCTGGAGAACTTCACTGTTCGCTCAGGGAAGAATGAGAGCAAAATATAGGCAAATAACATATTGGTATGATTAGTAAGATAGTTCTGATTTTGAGGACCCCCTGGAAAGGTCTCATGCACCACCCCCACCCCAGGCATAAAACACGTGATTGCTAAGTCAAGCAGATAGTGGATCTAATGTTCTTTCTGGGCCCATGCAAAGTTTATATAACCAAAATAAGTCTTCCCTCAGCAAATGTACTACTATGACGTCAAAATTAATTAGGTGCCATCATTTCCCCCAAACACCCCCACCCACAGTGTCATTGAAATAATAGACTAACGTATGCAAAGGTCTTTAGCCCAATACCTGGCACCTGGTAAGAGTTTGTTGTATTATTATTACATGACAACAATCATAATGCTACATGCTTTGTGCATTGTTTTAACGAACTGTCTGCAGTAGATACTAGTATTAGTCCCAATTTACCTATGAGGAAACCAAGCACGTGCACGAATGAGGTTAAGTAACATGCCCAGGGGCCCGCAGCTCTGTGTGAGGACTCAAGCCCGGGACTGCCGTCCCCACCCTCTGTGATGCACACCTCTCTCCCAGGAAGCTTTAGAAACAGGAGGGCTGGGTAAAGGAATTCATGATTCCTCAGTGAGATGCTTTGCTTCAATTAAAAATGAAAGAGTATCAAGGTTGTGGAGGTATTGGAAATATCTGGCATAAATGTTCAAATGAAACAAGCTGGACAGAAAATTGTAATTACATTGACAGCAATTATGTAAAAATATGTATATACACGAACACGAGCTGGAAAAAGTTCATAATGAATGAACATAGTTACTAGTTAGGATGTAAGATTATGACTAATTTTATTATGTTTTGAAATTGTTTCTGTTATATTGTTAATACAAAGAAAATAAATGTATTTACATATTTTGTACACACACTTGTGGCACTGTTTAAAAGGTAATGCCACTGATTCTTTGATCTTTCTAATTAAAAGTTCTCAAACATCTCTTTTAAAGTCTGTACAAAAGTCTCCACCTATGTCCTTGCCCCCTCTAAGTGAGCCTGACCTTCTTTGGTCACCGGCATTTGAGATAAAATTTGGCCCATTCAATCTGACTTAATTACAACTGCTACAACAAAATTGTTTTCTGTCATTTTTCATTGCAAATATACAACCTTTAATCTACATTATTGTGCTAAGATACTTCTGTGGGATTAGCTGGAAAATTATGTTTTGGTGGAACGTGCTTTAATTTCTAAATGAGCCTGGACAGCTCGTGATATTTTGGAATCAAACTAATTTCTGGAGGAAAGTCTGGAAAAAATTTTTTTTAAATGAATTAGGCCGGGCGCGGTGGCTCACGCCTGTAATCCTAGCACTCTGGGAGGCCGAGGCGGGCGGATTGTTTGAGCTCAGGAGTTCGAGGCCAGCCTGAGCAAGAGCGAGACCCTGTCTCTACTAAAAATAGAAAGAAATTAGTCGGACAACTAAATATATATATATATAAAAATTAGCTGGGCATGGTGGCGTATGCCTGTAGTCCCAGCTACTCGGGAGGCTGAGGCAGGAGGATCGCTCGAGCCCAGGAGTTTGAAGTTGCTGTGAGCTAGGCTGACGCCACGGCACTCTGGCCCGGGCAAGAGAGTGAGACTCTGTCTCAAAAAAAAAAAAAAAAAAAAAAAATGAATTAAAGTCCACCGAGAGAGGGGTAAGTTAATGGCATATTAATCAGGATGAATTAGAAGGGACGATCAAACACAGGGAAGGTAATGATGAGAAGAACACATATTTGAGGGAAAGCATTGTTTGGTATTTAGCTGACAACTGGTATTTAGCATGCTGACACAGGCTGGAGGTTTACAGAATGGATTGCTACTGAGAAGGACTGGAATTTGCCTGGAAACAAGGCTCACTTTCAGTCAATACTGCAATGATCCGGGGAGCAACCCATGAGGAGCTCATCCGAAACTGTAGTGGCTAATATTTTTGGTCTGCTTTCTTGTGCATACTTTTCTTTCCTAAAAATGAAGTTTTTCACCCATCTAAGGATAAGCCGATTGGTGTGTGGTTCACCTCCTCTCTTCCTCTGCCTGACTTTTGGCAGCAGGCAAGGTCAACATTTGTGGGAGGTGCCTTTAAGTAAAGCCAAAGTAGGAAGGCAGGAAGGATAGAGTTCAGACAATGCAGCAACCGGGTGATCTCCCCTGGACCTGGGTCAGAGAATACAGGTACCTGGGGTAGCTGAGCCCGGATATCTTCCGATCCTATGAATATGCTCTCCAGGTGGGTCCACGTGCGCTGCACCTCACACCAGATGGAGATGACGGCGTCAGCTGTGGACAGCTTCTTCTGCCAGCCTGACACTTCCTCTAGGAAGAAAGCAACATACTTGGACATCATCAGGTTCTGAAGCTGAACTTGATTATCCTCCAGAACTTCTATGAGGTCCTCGTCAGACCGCAGCAGGGGAACATTGGTCCTCTGGTGGGGTTCGTACTGGAATTCCATGCCAGCCCAGGTGGTCTGTAGCTCCTTTAAGGTTTTTTCCATACCCATCTCTTTCACGGCTTTGTCCACGATGCCCCGGACCTCGTCCTCAAAGCGGTGCAGCTGGAGCTGCAAGAGGTGCGCCAGGGTGGTGTCTTTGTCCATGGTGAAGTTCACACCAGTGGCCTGCATCAGCTGCCTCCAGTGCCGCTCCCGGATGGCTGGATTCTGCAGCTCGGCGACTGCCCTCAGGGAGACCAGGGTGTTCAGCACAGTGCTTTCCAGGCCTGTGAATGCATCCCAGGCCACGACCTCCTTGTCCAGGTTCCGGATGTGCCGGGCAAATCGCTTGCACTCTAAGTCCATGGCTTCCACATTGATGTCCTTCCAGGTGGTGGTCTCCCAGGCATGGATGCTGGAGGTCACCATTCCAATGGTGTCCCAGAGCTCCTTCAGCTGGCACACCTCCTTCCTGCACTGTCTCAGCTGCTTGTAGTCAGGAACGTTGACTTCAAATAAGCTGGCAGACTCGGAGATGGAGGCCATGGTGGATTCCATCTGCTGGATCTCAATGTGCCTAGCATCCAGCATTTGATGAGGGTTGATGCTGTCAAACCTGCAAAACACAATGTGTTCCCTTTGTAACTACAGCAAGCAGGGCATCATCTCCTAGTCATTAAGGTAACAACCAGCTGAAGTCTTTAAATGCTTAGTATTTCAGAAAAGAGCAGTGGCTTGCACCAAAGCCTCTAACCCTGGGAAGAAAGGACATTCATGATAGGTCGGGGTAGGACAGGCATGGAGGAAGGGCAGTCCAAGAGCATCAGCATGTTTGGATCTTCCGCACCCAGGTGTCGAGGGGACTACCCCCTTATCCAAGCACCTTTTAGACTCTGCCCTTTATTTAGCTGTTGGCTTCTGGAAGAACACTTGAGACAAAGGAGCATTGTGATATTACAGCAGAGGCTGAAAAGCCAAAGCCTCTGCCAGGATACCAGCAGCAGGCAATGGTGCCACTTAGAAGTCCAACCCTGGCTCTCTCTGGCATTGCTCCCTCTGGGGCAGTGGCTCTCAGCTTCAGCTGCATATTAGGATCTTCTGAAAGCTTTGAAAGATCCCCAAGCCTGACTACTTTCCAGATCAATTAAATCAGAATCACTGGGGGGTGGGGGGACCCAGGCAAACTCCCCAGGCGATTCCCACATGCCAGGGAGGCATCCTTGTCTACGGTGAAGCTCAGGCCGGTGCCTGCATCAACTTCAGGCAACAGCACTCCAGGTCAGAGAACCACTGTTAGTGGCACTAAAGGATGGGTGAAAAGTCCATGCCGGGGCGCTGGAGGGCCGCAGTAGCTCTCCTTCACTGCGTGCCTCGGGTCTGGACTCTCACCTTCATGAGTCCCTCCTCCAAGTTGTCACCCGACCTCCCTTTTCTGCTAATGTCCACCCTTCTCTGGACTGCTCCCTCCTGCACCCTGGGGCAGCCTCTAGCTCTGCACTTGACTCCTCTAAGCACTGTATCTAGCTCTTTCGTTCATGTTTCTTCAATTCTCTTCTCTCCAGTGCTTGTGGCACACATTCATGTGGAGACTACTCCTGAGCCTCGTTCGTGTTGACAGGCTTTACTCTGCCACCTTTCAAGGCATGCATTCTGGGCATAGCCTGGGCTCCAAAATAAGAACCCTACATGCAAGGAAACCCACATGGTCAGATGGTATTTCTTTGGTCTGAGGCATCCATAACCCTAGTGATCACAGAGACTCTCATTTTCCTCCTCTCACCCCACTTTATCCACCTCCTCCCCTCCCTGAGTCCAGGTTTCCTTGCCTCTGTGTGCTTGGAGGACTAAATATTGGGGATGCCATGGCTTAAGGGAGAACAGTATGTTCTTCTAAAATCACAACGGGGCACCATGGGGCTCCTCCTCAAGGGCAAGTTGAGGGGAAAGGAGTAACTGGAGAATTGGCTGCTTCCTCCTAGCTGGTGTACATCTATGTACTTCTATCTGTGTGTGCACATATGTGTGCATGTTGGTTGGTGGGGTACGGAAAGGAGGGGAAAAGAAAGGAAATGACATACAAACTCCTTTTCTTGAACTGCCCCTTCTTTCTGTTGACTTTAGAAGTGTTTGATTTGACAGCTGGAAAGTAATCCTAATTAAAGGCATTTACCTGAACTGCTTACCACTTAAGCCTAATTACCATGAAACACAATAACAGTTATGGATACCATTAAATTAGTGTCAGATTAACTTTGATGCTTGTTATATTTGATTCCCAGTTGTTCCATCTACATCATGTTTGGCTCAGGTACTATGGTTGTAGAATAAGACTGAGTATCTGCACGTCTACCCTGTTCTTCCACTCCCAGGTATTTCAGAACAGAGCATGAGGTTGGAGATCTCAGACTTGAAGAGGGCCCCCTGTCTCTACAGACAAGGAGTTCTGTCGCCTGTGAGGATCTGTGGGACCAGGAGGACAGAAGTGGAACATGCTCATGGCGAGTGGCAGACACACATGCAGTTCTCCAGCCGTTTCTTACATTTGTGTCATTCTGTGTCTTCATATGTGCTGTTTCCTTTGTCTGGATTATCCTTGCTTTCCCCTCCCTTCCCCTCTGAACAGCTCTTACTTGCCAATGGCTCTTGCTTGCTGTTATAAGCACTGTGTTCTACAGGGGTGTGAGCCACCCCCTAGTGAGAGTTAAAGATAGCACCCAGGGTCCATGTCTTATTACTCATTTTTGAAATTGTCCCTGAGGTTATAAGTCCTTGAGATCAGGAAAGGTAGGTCATCTTGAAATCCTAGCATGAAATCCTACAAGGCTTTCCGCATAGCCCAATGCAGCAGACGTGGGGAAAGAAGGGCTTTGTTCTGCCTGCACAGTGTCTGTTGTCTCTTCAGAAGCTGGAGAAATGAGCAGTATTAGTCATTCACCCTCCCAGGGACGTATTCATATCCTAAGACATGCCATTTGTTTGGCTTGACCCTGTTCTTACAGTTAATCTAACTCATTCACACGATTTAAGCTTCTATAGAGTAGATGAGGTTGTGGTCTCAACAGTGGAGTTAGCAAAATGCGGAGATTCTCTCATAGAATCTGGTTGCCCACTGAAAACTTAATGGTCTCCACTGAGCTGGAGCTCACACAGGTAGATTGTTTTGGCTAAGCAACCACTGGATTACCTTGGTCTTAATGTGAATAAGAAGATTATACATCATGGCACCATTTCTGAAGGTCAAGAAGACTTTGCTCAAGGTCGGGAAGACCAAACAACAGAATGCTGCCCAAGTGTGGAGAGTTCTTTTCATTCAAGGGAGAGAATTAGGCACCAATTTTAAGAGTTGCACAAAGTCCTTGAATTTGAGTATGATGACTTAGCCAATTACTGTGACGCGTGAGAGCTCAGCTAGAAATACGCTGAGATAGGTTAGAGTTAAGAACTAAAGGAGGAAGAAAAATTTGACTTGGACATGAAGAAAAACCTCAACTCAAGCATCCTGGCCCTGTCCAACTGCAAGGCCCTAATGAGACACTTGTTTTCTTTTTTCTCCTCAAAGGCAAGAACATTGTAAGCTGAGCTTAACCTGTATAATCTAACCAGGAGCAGAAGCTTGCACACAGAGAAATATACCAAAATCTGCAACTTAGAAAGTCATAAATGATCTAAAAATGAAGAAACCAGAATTAAACTCATTTGCCACACATAGTACCTAAAAATTTTAAACACTTCTACAAATCACACTAAGAAACAAAACAAAACACATGAGTTGACGCCCACTAAGACTCCCTTTAGCGATAAATCCACAATTCTGTTCTAGTCCTGATGTTTTTCTTGACAAGAAGAGAAATACATCAAAATTGCAGTAGCGTTTGGTTCCCCACACTGCTGTGAGCAGTTCTTTTCAAAGTATTCTCTTCCAAAGATTCATCTGCATGTCAAATTAACACATGTGAATTTGGAAAACCCAGCTTAGAGTGGCAATATCCTCACAGCTAGCAGACTCAAGTACTGAGAAAGAAAAATGGACCCTGCTATCAAATAAAAATAAAATTAAAAAAAAATCAACAGCTGATCAACATACACATGATACAACTACGAAGGAGGGATACCAGATTTCTAACAGACATACAAAAGCACACCATATTGTTTCCCTTTCAAGCTGTCTCAGAAGTTTCCTTCGGAAGATATTTCTCCAAAAACCTTTCAACTCTTTCCTTTTTTAAAAAATTTTCTTAGGAGACAGTTGATGCAAAGATATTAATGTCATTATTTTCACGGGCTTTGGTGTGGCTAACATTAAGTAGTATTATCTCACTGGAGAACTCTCCGCCACCAACTTTGGCTGTGCCTGATTGGTGTTCAATTTCAAAAACTCAATTTCATGTCCAAAGGAAAGTCAAAAGAATAATGAGCCTCAGACATTGAAAGAATAGTCCCCAAAGGAGTTCTGCAAATGTTTTGAGCAACAAATGATGCTTTGGAACAAGAGCATGGCTCCTAAGGTAATTATTCTAAAGGGATACAGACCCATTTGGAGTTACATGCCCTGGCATGATTGCTTAAAAGGAAACCACTACTTCCCTTTAGGGTAGCAGTTCTTAAACTTGGCTGCACACTGGATCACCTGGGGAGCTTTACGAATGACTGACACACAGGTCTCACCCTCAGAGGGTCTAATTTAGTTGGTCTGCGAGCGATCTGGACGTTGGGCATTTAAAAGCACTCAGGGGATTCTTTTTTTTTTTTTTTTTTTGAGACAGAGTCGCACTCTTTTTGCCCAGGCTAGAGTGAGTGCCGTGGCGTCCGCCTAGCTCACAGCAACCTCACATTCCTGGGCTCGAGTAATCCTTCTGCCTCAGCCTCCCGAGTAGCTGGGACTACAGGCATGCGCCACCATGCCCGGCTAATTTTTTCTATATATTTTTAGTTGTCCAATTAATTTCTTTCTATTTTTAGTAGAGACGGGGTCTCGCTCTTGCTCAGGCTGGTTTTGAACTTCTGAGCTCAAACAATCCTCCCGCCTCGGCCTCCCAGAGAGCTAGGATTACAGGCGTGAGCCACTGCGCCCGGCCCAGGGGATTCTAACATGCGGCCAAAATGGTGGCAGAGTGTTTCAGAGTCATGTGTTTTATGCATTTATATCTTATTTCTAGTTTATATACCTGTCTTTCACTGCCTCTTAACATACTCATCTGGTTCTCTCTAGCCCCAAGAATAATGCCTGGGAGATAGTAGCTGCTTAATACATATTTGATGAATGAATGATAAAAATAGGCCCCTACCGTGTGCCAGGTTGGGTGAGCAACCATCCTAGTTTGCCCAGAACAGAGACTTTTAATGCTAAAACCAGAACAGTCTGGGCAGACCAGGATTATTGGTCTCTGTAGTGCCAGGCACAATGCTAAACACTTTCAAAATGATCTCCTTAATCCTAACAACAACCCTATGCGGTAGGTGTTGTTATTGCTATCTGCATTTTACAGATGAGGAAACTGAATCACGAAGGTATTAAGTAACTTGCCATGACATAGGCAGGAAGTAGCAGACCTGAAATTAGAGCCCAGGCAGCCTGCATGTAGGTCCATGTGCTTGTTCATTACCTTATATTTCCTTCCAGTAAAGTTGTGATTTTTTTTGGTTTGGTTTGTTGCTTTAACATTTCTGTGGGTAAATAGCCTTTGAAAATGAAAAGATTTCTCAGTTCTTACCTGGGGAATTTTCCAGGTTGGGGATTTCCAAGTCTATCTACCTAACACTGCAGAGGAGACCCAGCACAAAACTCAGCCCAGGGAAACAGAAAACAAACCCCAGGGCTGGAGTGGGCGAAGGGGTCACCCAATCCGGCTGGCCCATCACAGACACAGGAACATTCAGGGACAGCTTATCCTCCTGGTGGGAGCGCTCGATGCTGAGGAGTGGGCGAGAGGCAGACCCCTGGCAGACCTGTCTACCACAGGAGGAAGTCTCTGATAAAGGCACCCGTGTGTGTGTGCAGAGTGGGCACATGTGAATGGTGCTGCCTGTCTTAGAGTTGCTTTGTTTCCGTAAAGACCTGTAAGAACAAGCAGGGGGTGTCTGAACCTTACCAAGTGGAGAGAAAACCTCCCGAAGTAAACCCTCACCTAACTCCTTTAGCCTACCCAAATGCCTTCCCAAACTATTTTAAAATTCTATCAGCTGTTTTTTAAAACCAAAAGAAATCTGTAAGAACTTAGAACGCTAAAGGCTTAGTATAATCTTAGTAATTTTACCACATACAATCCCTTTATAAACTTGGAGACACAAGAAGCATCTAGATTTCTTTAAAGGCAAAGTGTTTCTACAATCTTTGGTTATTTCACACGGGTCATGAAAGGACTTTGCCCGCATCAGCACCATGTTCCAGCCAGAGAACCTAAGTGGAAGGGTAGATTGCAAACGCCTCTTCCTCTGCGGGAAGAATACTCATATGCAATAGAAAGACCAGCCATGACTCAAAGATTGCAATGCTTAAAGGAAAAGAGGCAGCAGTGGCGACTTCAGCCCATACCTGAAGGGGGCTTCTTTGCGGAACCGCTCCCAGAAATGCTGCTGTTCGGCTTCGAAGGCTGTGCACCTCTGGCGGAGGACGGTCACTTCATTTGCCTGCAGTGGGGCCACCTGCTGCCTCACGGTAATGGCCATCTTTTTTATGTTGTTCCATTTCTCGGGCAGTTCCTGCAAAGGAGACCTCGATGTGGTCAGACCCCCAGGGTGCTCCCTCCTTGCACACAGTCCTGAAGCTGGACAGAACCCAGAGGCTTCCATCGATGCTACAAGGTGGCACTAAGAGGATTGGTTGTGCTGGTGTCCCCTGCCCGTGCTCTACAGTCTCCCCCCAAGCCACTCCTCCTTGACCTACATCCTCCTCGGGAGGCAGCTCTCTCAGCTGTCACCTGGACTCAACATGGACTGTCTCGCCCTCAACCTCTGTCCCTTTGATTGCTCTAACTCTGTGACAACTTAGAATGCTAAAGGTTCAGTAAAACCCTAGTGATTTCACCATATACAATCCCTTTATAAACCTGGAGACACAAGAAGTTTCCAGGTTATTTTTAAAGGCAAAGCATCTCTACGATCTTCAGTTTCTGCTGTTTCTATATTTCTACAGTAACCCTTGCACTTCCCTATGTCCTTCAGGAGTGCTTGGTTATTTCCTTTCATGGCCCACGTTTCCTCTTAGACCATCTGAACATCTTTCAGATCTGCTTTTCTTCTCTGAATCAAAAAGTTGGCTCATCTTGAATTCTGGAAAAAAATTCTTCATCCATATTAGTTCTCCCGTTTATCTCCAGCATTACATTCTCCCGTATTTATTGAGTTTCTAGAATGTGTTAGACATTATGCATACACCACACGTTATAGTTACAAAAGATGGACCTTGAGTCAGCACTGAGCCCTGTTTTTCATTTACCACACCCTTTCTCATCCCATTCTGAGATCCTAAAACGTTTCCTCTATTGCTTTTATGAGGAATACGTCAACGCACTGACCTCCAGCTGCTTGAACACTGTATCTGGCAGTTCTTGTTCATAGGTCTTCAGTAATTCAATCGTGTGCTTTAAGGGCTCAAACATCTCATCAGTGCTGCTCTGCCGTTCTTTAACAGCCATAAGGTGTCCCATAATCTCAACCAATCCTCTGAAATCTCCTTTTTCAACTTTTTTGAGCAAGCCGTTCTCACTGTTCTTTATAAACACTTCGAGGTCGGCCAAGCTAACGAACACAAAGGGAACATGAAGAGTCATTCTCCTCCCACTCCTCAGAAGGAAAATTTATTTATTTCCCTAACAATAACAGCTATTATTGTGGAAAGCGCACCATGTACCCAGCACTTTGCTAAACACTCTGCATACACTAGGCCCTGATGGTAAATGTTGCCTTTCTGCACAAGCATCAAGGTTATGAAAGACAAAGACTGAGATCTGTCCCACGGAGACAGGGCATCTAACTGGAACCCGGAGAGGAGGCTGGACCAGAAAAAGGATAGTAGTGGGAAACTGGTGAATTTGAATGAGGTTTGTAGATTAGTTATTGGTTCTCCATCAATATTAACTTCCCAGTTTTTGATAGTTGTACTACGGCTATACAAGATGCTACCACTGGGGAAAGCTGGGGGAAGGCTAAAAAGGAACTCTTTGTACCATTTCGCAACACTTTCCGTTAAGTCTGAAATTATTTCAAAGTGAAAAGTTAAAAAATAAAACAAAAATTTGCAAATTTAAAAAATACTATGGCCTATAAAGTCATACATGCTTGAATTTGATTTTGTACACTCATGAGTTTATGTGATCATGGCCAAATCCTTTAATGTCTCTGAGCCTCAGTTTCCTCACCTATAAGATTGGAAATGTCATTTCTGTTTCACTGGTTATTGGGAAAGTTAAATGAGATTCATTCTTGAATTCAACAAATTTTTAGTGAGCATCTAATATGAGCTCTAACATGCTTCCAGGTTCTGAGCTAGAATGATAAATAAGATAAACAAAGACTCTGCACTTGTAAAGCTTGTATTCTGGAGGAAAAAATAGACAGAAAACAAATCAATGAAATAAATTGTGTAGTTTCATGTAGTAATGAGTGTGATGAAAAATTAAACCAGGATAAGGGGATAGAGATTAAAATTAGGACTATTTTCTATGGAAAGATCGGCAAAGGCCTTTCTATGCAGGTGATAGTGCAGAAGAGTAATAATGCAAAGGAGTGAGCCACAGAAAGTAATGGGAGAAGAGCATTCCTGGTAGAGGGACAGCAGGAGCAAAGGCCCTGGGGTTGGATAAAGTTTGGTTTGTTTGAGGAAAAAGGAGAAAGTCAGGGTGGCCGAGCATAAGAGGAACAGGACAAAGTGTGGCAGGAAAATAGGTTGGAGGACTAACTAGAGATCTTTTGACCATGGTAGCAAATCCAGATTTCATTCTAAGTATGAGAATTCTGAGTAGCAGAATGCATGATCTGATTCAGATTGCCATAAAGCTCTGGGGCGGGCGGAGAGCAGATTTTAGCTGGGAGTAGTGTTGCTGGTGATGGTGGCATTGGTGGGGAAACAAGAATGCAGGCTGGGAGGGCAGCTAAGGACTATTATTTATTGTCCAGGCGACAGAAGATGTTGGCTTTAACTTGGGTGGCAGACGTGAAGAGTGGTCAGAGTCAAGAAACTTTTGCACATAGAGCCAATAGGACACACTGATGAACTGGCTGAGAAGTGTAAGGGAATGAGAGACAACAATAATGACTCCTGACGAGAGAGTGACTGGTGACGTCATTGAATGATGTAAGGAAGAATGGGGAAGGTTCGTTTTCCTGGTAGGGAAAGGGAGAATAGGTCTTAAACATTTTAGGTTTGTGATGCCTCACAGACAGTAGACGCCTAAGGGACATACTCATTAGGCAGTTGAATCTAAGCCTAGAGTTTCTGAGAGATGGGACTTCAAATATACATTTGGTAGTTATCAGTACACAGATGTTTTTAAAGCATTGGCTGGATGTCACCTGGAAAGTGCACGTAGATAGAGAAGAAGTCTAGGATTGAGGCTTTAGGAATTCTAGTATTTTGAGGGCTAGCAGAGGAGACGAGCCCAGCAAAGGAAACCAAGAAGGCATAGCCAGTGAGATAGAAGGAACACAAGAAAAGAGAAGAATCCTGAAGGCCACAAGAAGAAACTCTTTGGGAGGGAGGGAGGATTAGCTGTGCTCAACACTGCTGAGAGGTAGAATTAAAATGAAAACTGATAACTACCATTGGATTCAACCGTAGAAAAATCACTGGTGAGCTTGATAAGAATGGTTTCAGTGGAGTGGTATAGTAAAAGCCTAGTGGAAAGAAAGCTAGTGAATGGTGCACTTCTATTTCTAGCTCTATGGTATACATGATAATATGCATAACCCTTCTGATAAAACAACCGAAATACTTAAGCAAATATTTCAAAATTATTTAAAAATATGTCACTAAGGTGGCAGGAAATTAAGAAATCTCTGGAGCCTAAAAATGTAGATAGACTAATGTCCAACAAACATATGAAAAAATGTTCAACATCTCTAATTATCAGGGAAATGAAAATCAAAACCACAATGAGATACCACTTATTCCCAGTGAGAATGGTCTTTACCAAAAAGTCCCAAAACAATAAATGTTGGTGTGGATGCAGAGAGATAGGAACACTCATACACTGCTGGTGGGCCTGCAAACTAGAACAACCTCTGTGGAAAGCAGTATGGAGATATCCTAAAGAGATACAAGTAGATCTACCATTTGATCCAGGAATCCCATTACTGGGCATCTACCCAAAAGAACAAAAGACATTTTATAAAAAAGACATCTGCACTTGAATGTTTACAGCGGCACAATTCACAATTGCAAAGATGTGGAAACAACCCAAGTGCCCATCAATACATGAGTGGATTAATAAAATGTGGCATATGTATACCATGGAGTCCTATTCTGCCACAAAAAACAACAGTGATATAGCACCTCTTGTATTCTCCTGGATAGAGGTGGAACCCATTCTACTAAGTGAAGTATCCCAAGAATGGAAAAATAAGCACCACATGTACTCACCATCAAATTGGTTTTAACTGATCAACACCTAAGTGCTCATATAGGAATAACATTCATTGGGTGTTGGGCAGATGGGGGGCGGAGGGGATGGGTATGTACATACATAATGAGTGCAATGTGTGCCTTCTGGGGGATGGACACGCTTGAAGTTCTGACTTGGGGGGAGCAAGGGCAATGTAACCTAAATATTTATACCCCCATAATATGCTGAAATAAAAAAGAAAAATAAATAAAAGATTGTTGGCTGCAAAAAAAAAAAAATGTAGTGAAAGCAAGAACCCTGGGTGGTAAGCAAGATCCAAAGCTGACTTCCACTTGATAGTTTCTACTGAACCTTGGAGACTCTGAGCTTCTATTTTGATTGTTTTATGGGATATGAAGGACAGGTGATTAAGACTAGGGTCCAAAGTGAGGAGGCTAACAGGAGGCTTCACCTAAAGTTGGGACCATGAGAGTAAGCAAAAAATAAATATGCTGTGTGGAAAGGGATAGTATGAAAACTGGCCTGTCTTGACCTTGGCACTGGGGGACTACTGCAGGGTGTAGTACAACTGGCCCAGGGTTGGTAGAATCCCTAGGACTGGCAGAAATAGACACAAATCCTTTCTGTGGGAATGCAACTAGAATCCAGTCTGCAAAGGATTCCCCATGGGTAAAATTCTAAGTAATATGATTTTATAATTTAAAAAAAAAATCACATAATACACAAGGAAAAAGGTCACCATGAGTGGGAGTCAGCAGAAACAGTGAAATTAAATCTGTAAAGGTGTCAGATAATGGAATTCAGTTGCAGGATGTAAAACTGCAATATTTAATATGTTTAAAAGACAAAAGAGTTCTTGCTTAGGTGCCTTGCTTCATTGTTTCTGTCCCATATAGCAGTAGGAAGTGGCTTCTCTGTAGTTTCTTGTACATCGGTTCAAGATTGACTAAGAAAAACAGCTGCTTCCTTTTAAGCAGAATGTATCAGTTTACATAGAAACTCTTTCTATATGAACCAGCCTTTGGAAGCCCAGATAAGTTCTTACAATCCCAGGAGATCACCGTCCTTGTCCACAGCTCTGTTTGCCCTTTATGTTTAAGCATAAATTTAGCTTTGTCACAGAGAGGCAAGAATGGCAATTTCAGAGGTTCTCCAAATATGCTCATAATCTGTGATAATGTACAGATCTTTGTATTGAATGATGAATTCATAGAAGTGACAAAATTTATTGAAGTGGGTAACAGTAGAATTATGGCCTGTGATAGCATTACTTTGTGAAGAGAAGCATAGAAACAGCTTCTAATATGTGTTCTAGCAATGCAAAAATGATCATCCTGTGTTATGTTGATGGGAATACCAAGAGAAAGGAGCTAATAATTTTCTGTAGGCTTTTGTGTCACCTTTAAAATATGCCATGAGGAAACAAACCATTTTTAACTTGACAAATCAAAAGTTTGTGTTGAGATCACCCTCTAATAGATGTATTCTGAAACTTGAAAAAACAAAGGCTTAAAATTTGAGAAAAGAACAAGAGTATAAAAACAAGCAAGCAAAATTGTAAAATAACCAAGTAGAAGATCTAAAAATAGAAAATATAATTAAAATTTAAATTTCAATGAGTTTATTAAACTGGAGATTTAGACAAAGCTGAAAGAGAATTGGTCTGCCGTATGATGAATGTGAAGAAGTTATCTAAACTACAGTGCAAAAAGACAAAAAGATGAAAAATATGCGAGGTATTAAATGACATGAGATAGTGAAAGGTCTCGCATAAGTGTAATAAGAGCTCTGGAAGGAGATAATAGCAAGAATAGGCAAAAAAAAAAAAATATATTTGAGGAAAGTCTGGCTGAGAATTTTCTTGAATTGCTGACACTAAATGTAAGATCAAGAAAGCCCAACAAATCCTAGGCAGAGTGCATACAAAGAAAGCTTCACAACAATACTTCAATAAAAAACTGCAGATTACCAAAAGGAAAAAAATATTAAATTATTATCATTTAAGAAAAAAGACAGATTTCTACAATAAAAAAAATAGAACAACCAGACTCATGACTGAAGACTCAGCAGCAAAGATGGAAGCTAGAACACAGTAGAATAATATTTTCAATCATTTAAGAGCATTTATGTTATCCTAGAATTATCTCATCCATAAAACTATTTTTTTTTCAAAAAAAG